ATGGTTCATTTGATAAAACCATTTCCTTTAGGTCTTCAGGTCAATGTTACACAACTAAAAATAAATAGTAAAGAACTTGGGCCCTTCAGTGGAGCAGCAGGTGTGCAAGTGACCTAGATACATATGACATGTAATACTTAAACCTCGCCACAAGGTAGAGCTGTGTTGAATACTGACACTGTCGGGACAACAGTAGAACAGTTTTTGTGTTTCAGTGTCACAGTTCATATTCTGCAGTTTGTCTTTTATAAGCTTTTACTATATTATGTTTTGATCAAACACATTTAACCCATTGAAACAACAGCAGGGCACTGACTTTGTTGTAGCTTTTTTTAATAAAAAGCTCCAAAGGTCCTTCTTTTCATGTTTCTCCTACTATTCATTATTTTTTCGACACTGGACTTTGCTAATAAGAGGGTTTTTTTACATTCACACATAATTTTTTTCTCTCACATGTGAGCGCTATCACCAGCCGAGGGGTTAGTGATCACTCATATTGATGATTTGCAAATTCGACAGCTCTGAAAACAAAAAACAAGATAATCTGAACTTGAGCGTAATATTAGATAAGATCAACTAATGGATCGCACTTGGGAAATTTACTTGTTGCAGAAGGAAGACGACAAGAGAACACATCAAAGCATGAAAATAGAATGAAACATAAATCGAATAGAAAAATCAAATAAAATTGAAAACCAGGAAATATGTACATTGTATACTAATTTCACTACAGACAAATTATTACGTCTGGAGAAATGCACTAAAGGTTGTCCTTGTGGGGAACACACTTCTGGTAAATTATAGAACAATACATGATAATAGAGCACTGAGCTTCACAGTACAATTATGTGTGTAAGTATAGCACAAGTGGAAATTAAAGTAAGAAAACTGGAGGAAGAAAAAAAAACACCAGCCATATTTCTCATAGATGTTATAAAATCGGAGGAAATGTACAGTTGTGACATTGTGGATATTAAAAGACCTGACGAGGTTGTGGCCCACGATTGTAGTGGATAATGTCGTCAAAAAGAGGTCATAATGTTGTTGTCCTGTATGATGTAATTCCTTATCCTGGACCATGGGATATGATTCAAAATGTGCGGGTCTCATAAGGCTATTAGTTTTTCTTTTTGTTACACATGAATGAAAGTATGATAAATAAGGCAAAATGATAGTGATGTTTAAAAACTGAATATTTTCATATAGAAATGAGCTAAGAACACATTTGTAGGATCTTTACTGTGTTGTGTTTGTGTGTTTCAGCTGAAGTGCTGTGGAAAAGGCGTGGGAACCTCGGTTCTTACATTGTTGACAGACAGTTTAGGCGTGACTGACCTGTGCCCAAGCAGTGGACTACAAGTTGTAAGTGTCATCATCCAGATCAACAGTTTTATCACTGCATGCAACAACGGTGCAGGAGCCTAAGCAAAACACTCATTTTGAGTAGTTTGTATTAAACATAAAATATTTGTCAAAACCCAGATCATTAATCAGAACAAAACCACGTCACCGCAGCGTTAATGTTCCTTAGCCTTTTCATCAGGAGCCCTTCATGTCATCTGATCTGCAGATGGGAGAGGAATGAAATATTTGTCTGACATACAGTCTTTATAAAAACTCAAATTGATTTGAAATGAGCACACGGTTTGTCTGGAACCAACACGATACTTATGAATACACAATAAATGTACAATTTACACATAAACACATGACCTCTTGACAGCTCTCATGAGTCTTGAGTCAGATGAGAGGATTGATTCTTTTCTGATATCTGTGTGTTGTGTACAGAGCTGGAGCTGGGAAGTTTTTGGCTTATATAACTTGGTGTTTAGTTTTGAAGCCTGGGTCTGTTACCAACGCTTCTGTGTCATATTAATATAAAATTAACATTAACAGGCCGTATAGTGTGTTCAATCCACACTCAACAGAACAGACTTCTTCCATTTTCAGTGTTTGCTCAGTGGACATTTCCATCCGCAACAGAAATCTAAAAACAACAATTTGTGGATAAGGGAGGAGTCACATGTTGGACCAGAGTCTGGTAAGTCATGGCTCCTGGCTGGTTTCAGTAAGGAACAGCTACAGTTCATGACTCCCTGTGAAAACCACAACTTGTTTTTACTTTGATGGTTTTGAATGGATCACAAAAACAAGATATAATATTTCATTCGCGTAGAGCTGCAGTAGAGCTGCTGTGTGTCTGAAGTAAGGACGGAGCCAAACTGCTTCCTGTCTTTATGTTAAGCTAAGCTAATTTGCTCTGGCTTGAGCTCCATTGCAGCACATGAATGGTATCAATCTTCTCATCCTTCTCTTGGTAACAAAGGGAATAAATATATTTCCCACAATGTCAATCTGTATCCTTAAATGTGATCAGTTACACCTTTCTGCGGAGTCGGGCATGGAAAGAAACACTGATGTCAAGAAATTGTTGAAAATGAATAGAATTCCATACTTTGAGAATCACTGAGGGCTTTACTTTGAGCTGGAGATACAAAAAATGTGAAGCCAGTTCATAGTTTGTGAAGCATCGTGTTACAATTGTTGTTCCCCAAAGTACCAGCGGTGCCACCGGCGTGTGCTAGAGCAATGAACTAGCCAATCATTTTCATGCACTGTATTAACACGTTCACCCAAAAAATAACAATTGTCACTGTTATCCACTGTGCATGTGTGGTACATATCTGCTAACATGTAGCCCTGATTGCAGTATATCCTGTATTAAACCTTGTTCTAAGCCTTTTCTGAAAATGTGTTCTTGCAACACACGGACACCAACAGCTGTCTGCATCCTCGCTTCACCTGGAATGACCACTGTTAAAAACATGACAGAGAGTTTTAAGTGGGGAATTTGCCTCCGTCATTACTGTTAAACTACGCATGTGTGAGAACATAAACCTTAACAGGCAACTGTATCTCATGAGGCAGGTCTTTGTAAACAGTCTTAACAGATATCAGTAATTATATTATGAACTCCTGCTTATGTGCATTTGCCATAAAACACTGATTACAGCCCGGAGTGAAAAAGAATAATAATTGCGGAATAAGACTTAAACACTAAAACATGGATCTTAGTTTTCTCTTTATCCTCAATCAGAGCAGGTGAGGTTTTATTGCTGTTTTGAATCAGATGTAAATCCATGTTTTGATGTTTTTCCTCTGCAGAGTTGCCACCATAGGATCCAGGAGCTCTTCTCAGACAAGATCTACCTGATCGGTATCGCCGCTCTAGTGGTGGCAGTTATCATGGTGAGGACATGAAGTGGCACGTCACTGACGTCAAACCATAAGCATGTTTTATTTAACCTCCACCACATGGTAACGTAGTCATGGCAGTGGGTGTTGTGTGGGCCAATGCTGCACATTCATTGATGCAATGAATAAATTATTATAAGTACAATGTATAAAAGAGATCATTTAAAATGGATGCTGGTTCGGCTATATCTGGGGACCTACATAATGCTTTACTGATGGGACTTACAAATGTCATGTTTCTTTACTATGCAGCTTAGTAACTGTTCTTTTCTTTGGCCACAAAACAGGAAAGTATTGTTACCAACATTTAAAGTTTCAATGGCACATTGATATACATTAGGTTCCTTGGCAAGTGTTTTCTATACCTGTGAATGTGGGAAAGAGTCAACTCCCTTTATAAGGTATTAAGTGGTTCAAGTGTCTCTTGGCACACAGTCGGACCGAGCAAAGACATCGAGTCTTTCTCTATAAATAGTTTCAGGATATAAGCTCCCCTACATCCATTACCTTTCATCTTACTTTACACGCAAATTAGTATATTTTTGCTGCAAAAAAACCCAAAGTATATTTCTCAAAATGTCAAACCATTGCTGGAAGTTGTATTTGGATTGCTGTAGTGCTAATTTAAGCTTGAATATTGTTGTTGTAACTGACAATTTGACATTTTGATAGTGGATATCTAACCGTCACCTCTGTGTATGTTCCTCCTCTCAGATCTTTGAGATGATCTTCAGCATGGTGTTGTGCTGCGGGATCCGCAACAGCCCGGTGTACTAAAGCTACAGTGGGGCGGCCAGCCGACGTGCAAATGAAGGAAGGTCGACGTTGCAGTCGCTGTCTCATTCGCTCTCTTTTCTTTTATAAGCAGGAAACCTCACATATATATTGCTTGCTGGATTTAGTCAGCTGGTTGAGAAGACAACGTACAAACCACCCTCCATTGAGCATTTTCATGACACTGTCGACAAATGTTTCGTTAGTCACAGATGCAGTTCTGCATATTTGACCAGTGCTTTCCTAATCTGATAAGTAGATTCGTATTATATTACACTGTCACACAATAATTACTTTCACCAGTCCTGGTGCTTTAATCCTTTAGGGATTTGTTAGTTGTTTACTGCCTCCTTGCCTATGAACATGCTCTTATATTCTTGGTTTTATAGATGTTTTTTTTCCACTGTTTTATGTATAAACTGTATATAAATATATATATTAACAGTGCTTTATGACTGCATGAGCATGGCTATTACAGTAAATTCTTCTGTATTCTTCTTGCACTCAGCTCATTCAATTTGCCCCAGACTGAACCACATGATGGTGTGTAAGATCACCACTAGCATCGGCCTCACCACACCATGTAGAGTGAATGTAACACACATGTAATGCACTCCCCCCATCCCACAGATCACTGTCTTGACTGAAATCCACATCAAATGTAAGATGAGAGGGTTGATACCACTCTCAAGTCTTGGGGTTGAAATTTGAAAACTAGGTTAGCTTAGCATGACGGGTGGAGGGAAGAGGAAATGTACGCTGGAAGTGTTTTTGTCCATGTGCAGAGACTTCTGGAATCGACCAGTGGAAACACACCTGGCCGAGCTGTAGTTCCATCACGTCCCTCCCTTTTACTATAAATTCTCATTAATACGTAACCAAGTCATTTCCATTGCCCGTGTTGTTACATTTGTCTGTTTCACACATTAATGATGTCTTTCAGGGCTGTTGTGTCAAATTAGATATTGCAAGTGTTTATGCTCTTGTGTCTGCTCTTTTCTTAATAGTCTCAGGCTAATAGCAGTGCTGATGTTTGTAGTAGTAGAGGACAGTGCAGTCACATTAACACTACAGTGTTGATTCCACCTGGCAACTGAACATGCTCATCATTCAGTCCAGTGGGGTGTTCTTCCCCCACATGGGCTTAAACATACTTGGAGCTGTGGTCTGTTCCTTCTAGAGCCATCTGCCACTGACACTAATGCAAAACTGCATACTCATCATGAACACATACTCACAGAATCATCATCTCACCCCGTGTAACCCTCCATATTATCATAGCATTTGTCCCTCAACTAAAACTTGTCTTGCTATCATCTCATACTTAAACTGAGGAGCTGTAAAAAGTCTCTTGTAATATTTACAGCTCTGACGTATTGTACTAATGAATGTAATGAAGGCTGTAAAAAGACAATATATGCCTTTTATCTCTCTTTGTATTGTGATATCAATGTCTGGTACGTCGTCAAAGGAGTCTGAAAAGAGGGCGGGAGATTTTTGTGGCAGTGCTGACTGGGAGGAAATCAAACCTTCAACACATTATGAACAAAAAAGCGACACTCTTCAAACGATAAGGGCACAAGCTGTGTGTCTCTGACAATGCTGTCCATGTTGCTGCATTTTGAACCTAGTAACACACTCAGGCCTCACTTCCACTTAAATCTCAACCCTCTCTACTCTTGTAGACTTTGGTTTGCCCAAATATAAAGGGATTAAATGTATTTTACAAATAAATATTTGTGTTCTTGTGTTTTTCTTTTGGACCCTTAACATGAAAAGTGGATGATACATGAAATGTTAGGCCCCAGGATAATGATAATGTGAGTGGAAGAATACGGAAATCTCTGTAAAACACTCATTAGGGTTCTTAAGGTTTTGTTTGTTAACTAAATCACAGATTATAAAAGGACCCACCTCCCAAAGTGTCTCTATCGCCTCCTGGTGGCAGGCTGCAAACCCCACCTTCAAGGGATAGATCACACAAAAATGGGAGCGCAGACATTGAGGCTTCAATCTAGATGTAAATGATTGCAGTGTTAAGGCATGTTGTGTTTTTTTCTGTTTTCTATGTTAGAAGAAGAAGACGGCATTCACTTCAATTGTAGTGGATTCTGCTGCAACGCTGTTTACCCCTGAAACTTCAAACACCCAGCCCTCCATCGGTATAGGGCTGAACTATCCCCTATCTGTTAGCAGATGGGACATGGACCTAATGTCAAAGTAAACGTCGAATATTGTTTTCTCAAAGATGGTTATTGTCTTTTCAAGAAAGTTTGGATTAATTGGTTATTTGACATGATAAAAACAGGGTGATACACAGCTGAGTCTGACTCAGCAGGACTTGAGATCGCAGCTCCATCCTCTCATCACAACTCTGCACTCTGGCTCCAAATGATGTCATCAGTGCAAGATTGCAGTGTCAGGGTATTTTGGCTTCACTTCCATCTTTTAGTGGATTAAATACAATGTTTGTACATTTATCGATGTAGACACCATTTTTCAGGTTATCAAACACTTCAGTGCTGATACCTGCAGATACAAAGTATGCTGTACAGCAGACACTAATAAAACCTGAATTACTACTAAACACTGCAAAAACACATTTAAGCTATTCTCTAGAAAACTGATGGACGGTAATTGAGAGCTGAAGATTTCTACTATGAATGGGACACTAACTAAAAAGGGGCTGTATCCGATAGTTTTGCCTCATCGCAATAGGGAATATGTTTCCTCTTGCTCTCAGAGTCCTTTTTAATACCTTCTGTCCAACTCCAGTGAGCCGTAACGTCTGTTACTCACAGTGTCTTCTGTCCACTGACTCAAAGACCTGATCGATGGACAGGTGCTGAGAAGGCCGTCCTTCAGCAGCTTCTCCACCTCTGCGGGTTGTGGTCACTTCTCTGATCGATGCTCTTTTTGCACAGTTACTCAGTTTAACCATGTGTAGGAAGAGTCCTGATGGTTCCAGACTGTAGATTCCACAGTTAGGGAGGCCGCTGTGCTCCTGGGAACACTCGGAGCTTTAGTAATGGTTTCATACCTTGCCTTGCCCACTCACAGTTTGAATCAGCAGTCTCCACAGAGACTTTCTTTGAATTCATGGCCTGGTTTTTGTCCTGACACAGTGTTAATGTGGAACTTTGTGTGTGTTTCCAAACTATGTCGATTCAGTTTGCAGCAGGTGGACTCCTCATATTCTAAACACACGTGAGGGATAACAGGATGCACCTGAACATTAAGAGGAGCCTGAAGTTTCAAATATTTCTGTAATAACAGATTCAGATTTTTAATGTAAAATAAATGTACAAAATTTCTTGAGTGTAGGTTGTGTGCAAAATAGTAATAATTGAAAAATACATTTTGTGAAGCTTCTGATTTCTAAAATAGAAGACAAGCACACAAGCAAAACAAATTCATGGTTTTGTGGAGGCTGTGTTTGGCTCTACTGTTTGTATATTGGAGATGGAAGTTAACTCTGGGTGTATTATCCAGTATTTCTAATATTCATACATTTGTTTTCCATTGGTAGTAAGTAAGTAAAACAGCAATACACTGTGCTTACCAAGCTGCTGCATCTCACACAGGAACTTGCCGTGTTGTTCTCTGGCTTGCACAGTCGCCCTGCCTCTAATAAAAGGTTAGTCTGAGTGTGGACGTCCTCACTCTGAGCACCTCTGCCATGTGGAGGGTTTGAATGGATTCTAGAGGCACTTTAAACCAGAGCTCACATGCATACTGAGCAGCTTCAGACACTGGGAGCATCATAATGTGCCTGGTCTCAGGAAATAACTGTAAATGAATGCAGGTCTTTGTCAATGCCAGTAATTTTGAACTGATCTATTGATTCTGAGAAAATAAGTGGGTCAGTCTTAAGTATTGAAGGACACTTAAGGGAACAGATTCCCCACAATCTGTCTACAATTAGGAAGAAGCACAACAGAAGAAACACTTGAAAATCACAATCAAGCTTGATACATAATGTTCTATAATATCTTAATCTTAATATTCTTATAATCTAATATGTGATACAGTAGAAAAGATCAACGCAGTGGCTAACTTTGTCTTTTCCCTGTCTCAGCGTTGGTTACAGTGTCTCCAGTGAAGATGTGAATGATTTATATTTACAATATCATTTCAATATCTCAGTGTTTCCAAATAATGAAGATGCAACAGTTATTCTGTTTACCTAAGTTAAGTTTAGCTCCCTGTGGTCACCGGTGAGTTTTCACACATGGTGTGAGAAATCTGAAGAAAACAGGAGTAGGTGCCTCCAGCAGCACAAGAAATTCTGGGCTGTGTCACCAGGGGGTGCAAGAATGAAATAATTCATAGTGTTGGGAAAATGTTGCTCCTCCACGAGTCTTGCAAAACAGCTTCCGTTATGACAGAACCGGTGTCACTGTACTCAAGGGATAAACAGCAGATAAGAGATTCCTTCAGATGATGTTTGGATGATGGTGACAGATCTGGTAGCAGTAAGAAGGGTGTGATTCACATGATTTAAACCAAACACTTGGCCTCTCATGGCCTGAGTGGGAGCATCAGCATTTGGTCAAATGTCCCTTTAATTAGTCAGCCCAGTTCTTACCGTCCTGCTGTTGCCTTGTCAGCTATGACCTTACTTGAGAATAATAATGATCAGGTACATATTTAAATCTATATTTTAAATCTATTAAGCAGAGTCAGGTTCATTTGAGATTCTAAATTGGCAGTAGGTGTAAATGTGAGTGTGACTGGTTGTTGGTCTCAGTATGTTGGTCCTGTGGTGACCTGTCCAGGATGTAGCCCTTTTGCTCAATGTCAGCTGGGATTGGCTCCAGCTCCAACCAGAGCCTCAAAGGATAAACAGTAAAGATAATGATGGATGAATGTATCTAGTTAGAAATATCACAATTATGAAAGTAAAAGCATGTTGCCACACCAGGAATGAGGAACATTAGTTTAGTCATTTTAACAACACAACTGACGCCCGACTCCTACACTTTATGAGAAAGTTCCAAGGAAAGGCAGGAACATGTTGCTTCAGCTTCATGGCATCAGACCAACTGGCCTATGTTTAATCTACTTGGTGCTTACTATACTATACACCATGGTTTCAAATTAGTAATACGATATTACACACTTTTCTATTGATGTTTAAATGTATCAATTTGTTTTTATTCTATATTCTTTTACAGAGTTTTAAGGTTTTAAAGGTCCAGTCTGTGTTTTATAGGCAGTGTGTGTGTGTGTGTGTGTGAAGAGGTGGATGGCAAAACTGTAGTGTAAAGTGCTTAGAGTGGTCATGAAGAGTAGAAAAGCACCATAATAAATATAGGCCATTTATCATTTACTATTATCTGAGTACAGTGCGTTTCTGACAGCAGCTTCAGCTACCGGAAGGTCACACACTTGGAATGGAAGGGTGAGGAGAGGGGTTTTCATTTGGTTGGAATCTACAACCTCACCGTGAGATGCCATTAAATCTGACACACACAGCCTTTCAAATTCCAGATTAGGGAACGGTTGCCTTCTGCTGCTGCCACTTGAACATGACAGGGTGTGAAGTTATAATGTAGATTTAAGACGGACATATCGTGTCCTCCTGTTGTCTATTTTCTACAGTGCGGTTGCACAAATACAGGATGGAAAGTTTCAGCTCACAAACAGACAGCAGGTTTTATTCCCAACCAAACACCACAGAGGTCAAACATTACAGACGTTAGCAGGATAGTGTGATGCAAAAGTAACCAATAGGAAGTGAACATGAATTACTGTTTTGAAGCAGTGGACAGGGACTCTGCTCTACTCAGTGAGCCCCAATTACTCTACTTGCAAATCATGTACTGTGAGCAAATCTCTACAGAAATGTATAATGCATCATATAATACAAATATTAATAACTTTGTTTTTATAGCAACAAAGTGATTTACAAAATAAATGGTGTTACGTTTCCCTGTTAGCAGAAACAATAACGCTGACAACCACCAAAGAGAGAACTCAGAGCAGACGTGAGGCAGTCAAAGAAAAAAGGTTTATTTACAATATTTAAATGAAGGTAAACAACAAACGTAGGCTTGAAAAATGTGGGGAAAGGAGGAATGGTGGGGGTTGTGCCGAACAAAATAAACAAAGTACAACAAAATAGGGCCTAGCTCAACTCTATCTGTGAGAAAGAAAAAGAAAACAAAAGGCCTGACTATCTTCTCTACAAAAGTGTCTGAAAACAATAAAAGTACAACAGTGACAACAACCCATAACCTGGTGTAGTAACAATTTCTTCCTAAGTGCGTGAATGTAAAGGGCACCCCAGCCTTACGTCAGTTCTACCTCCCCACCACAAACCTTCTTTAACAGCAAAGCAACATAGAGGGGCAGAACAAAGCAAAAGAGAAGCTTTTAAATGGTGCCCTCCGTCTCTGATTGGCTAATTGGCTGGAGTGTGAGCCAATCCACAGCTCTTCTGGAGCTCACAGGTGGCAGCCAATCTTCCACTTGTCACCTGCAGGACAAAGGGAGGAAAAAGCGACAGAGAGAGAGAGAGAGAGAGAGACACCCTCACAAACAACTCTATACACATAACACATGGGAATGACACAGAACAAAAACAAAAATAAGAAAGAAAACGTAAAACGAGAAATATCAAATATCAATTTAAAACAGTACTAGAAAATATTAAAAACAAACAATAGATAGAACAGACTGAAATCACTGCCACGTACTGTGTGACCATTAAATGTAGAGCTATAGCTTGG